GAATCTGTGAACCTGGGAACAGAGGACTGTGCTGGGACAGGGAGCAGCATCCTGGTCACTCTCCCTCCCGACTGCGTGTGGTTTCCAGTGACTGCATAGAGACTAGGTAATCCACGCACACGCAGAACAATGTGCCTGCATATGACAATGCAGGAAGAGAAGTGAGGTCGGTGACAGATGCTCTTCAGGGTCCACGAGCAGGAGACGCAGCACTGCAGCTATGCTTTAGAGAAAGCCGGGGTCAGAGTGCCTGCCAGAAGACACACCTGTGAAAGCCATCAGGTTTGAGACTGTGGAGGACTCATCAGGCTCTGAGCTGAGGAGCACTGTGCACACAGACGTCCCTCACATCTGCCTTGGGCTCGGTGGGCAGGGAACTGAAACCACCCCTATTTCACCAGGGAGGAGGCTGTCTCTTCCCCAGAGGCTTCGAGTAAGGGGGACTGGCCAAGAGATACGCCAGTATTGTACATTAGTCAGGGAAGTCCCCATTGTCCCTCAGATTGCTGGTAAAGAGCAGGACACCAGCAGTCCCAGGAGGCAGGCTGTAATGAGCTGTGGCTTCTGTCCTACTGTCACTGCGTGCTCCCTGGGGATCTGGGGAATTCCCCTTCTGACCTTCCTCAGACCCCACCCCCACCCCCACCACACTTTTCTGTGAGCCAAGTTGTCCAGCAGACAATAAGCCTTGGCCCTGGATGAGCAGGGGGGGCAATCCATTTCCCTGGCCGGGACCTGGAAAGGGATGGCTTCCCACTGGCGGCCTCTGCAGTCACCAGTCTGATAGGGAGATGTAAGAAACAGCTGCTGGGGACACCCCTGACCGGCGTCTGGCCAGGAAATCTACCTCATCATAAGCCGCAGGCCAAGAAGCAGTGCAGAGTGATGTATAAGGAAGGGCAGGGTCATGGCAGTACTGGCGGGGACACGAACTTCCCATCCATCACTTCTCATGGCCAACAGGTCCTCAGAGAACTTGTCTGAAAGGGGACCTGGGTAAAACCTATGGGGATGGAACCGAACACTGCCCGATCAAAGCTACTTTAAGATCACTGGAGGCTGTCAGTAGGAACAGTGATTTTAGAGCCCTAAGCCAGGGTTCAAATCCTGCCTCCCCCTGTTACTGGCATGCTAGGTACCTTAGACAAGTCCATCTCTCTGGGTTTGTTTTCTCATGACTAAAGACAGTTGCAAAGATCATGTGAGCTAGTATGGGGGGAAAAGGTCACACGGGGCCTTTTCCTCTCATAGCATCCTTGCTGCCTCCCCGACAGTCTACCTCTTTGATAGCAACTGGGCTGTCTTGGCTTTGGGGTTTTGAGACAGGGTCTCGCCAGGCAGTGGTGGTGTACGCCTTTAATCCCAGCACTTGGGAGGCAGAGGGAGGCGAATTTCTGAGTTCGAGGCCAGCCTGGTCTACAGAGACAGGGTCTCATGCTTCTGGTCCCTCTGATCCCACCTCCTGGTTTATAGGCATGCACCATCAGGTCTGGTTCTATGTGATACTAGGATAGAACCCTGGGCCTCCCCGTACAAGGCAAACAGTCTACAAACTGAACCACAACCCCAGCCAGCCTAAGCAAGCTTTATAAAGGGACACCGATGCCACCCAAGCCCTCCCTGTGATGAGACTAAAAGCCAATGTTCCTCACCTGTCCTAGCCTGGCAGCGCTTGTCATGCACTCTTGGTCCCCAACACCACCATCTGCTCAGCCTCACCAGCTATTCCAGCAGCCTGTGACTATCCCAAGCTTGCTCGGCCCCAGGGCCATCACCACCTGTTTTATTTTTCCACTCTTTGAAGGCCTGGTTCATTCTTTCTCAATCAGATGTCTCTTTTTTCAAGAAAGCCCTCTCCCCACTGCCTGAACCTACTCCTCTGACCTATCTGGTTGTCACTGTCCAGGGACAAATCTGACAGGCTCTGTTAGTTAGTTATGCAACCAACAACCACACAGGCAGAGTGTAAGAAGGCCCACCCCTACCAAGTCAGGCCTTTTCTCAAATGGCTACCCTGAAAGGTGTTCCTAACAAGACGGTGGTCAATGTTACACATGTCCTAGAGAGCAATAGCCAAAGCCCCGAAGCCCACTAGCTGGGGCATCAGGACAAAGTAGTCACAAAGGCCATCTCCCCAGGTGTCCACTGCCTGGAGTAGTGGGGGCAGCCCATCATGTCTAGGCGGGGCAAATCACTGTAGCCAGGGCTACAACAGTCGTAGCAGGTGGGGCAGTGAAAGCACCTCTGGGCACTGCTGGGAAGCACACAGCACCTCAAAGAGAGCCATCCCTCAGCATCAGGGCCCAGTGTGAGTTCACCACAAGGTGTAAGTCAAGAAACACTGTGGCTATGGCTGAGAATATTCATCATAGCACAGTGACAGCTCAACAAGAAACTGACCATGTGGCCAACAAGACATGATGACTCCTATGTGACCAATCATGAGGAAGAAATACTGAATTGCAGGAAAACAAGTGGACGTCCAAGGCCTTGAGGGTGCAGAACACAGTGACACTATCTGTGCACTGTGAGACAGCAGCGGGCATGAGCCAGGGGCATCCAAAGGACAGAGACCAGCTCTGGATGGGCGGGTCAGGTGTGCTGAGGTGGAGACGTCATCTACTAGCCTGCTGTCTAGGTAGTGAAGGTGGCTTTGCTCCTCCAGTTCCTCAGGGACAGTGTGCTGGGTGGACTGCATCCCTGGCGGGACAGTCCCTAGCACTGAAAGCTCTGCTCTTCTCACTAGCCAACCATAGCACATAAAGAACAAAATTAGTCAACATAAAAACACTTGCTCAGGACCCAAAGACAAGGCAGGGGCCTGACTCTGGGTCTCCAACGGCACAGCCCCCACCTCTCCTTCTCTGTGCCAAGCTGGCACCAACAAGGCTGGGAATCTGGGTGACCTCACAGATCTGGTGCTGGCAGTATGCCAGCTCTCTGACACTGTCAGGGGCAGGCGGGTGGGGGTGGGGGTGGGGGTGGGGGTGGGTTGCCTGTGGGGAAAGTTGGGAGCCATCGATAAGACTAGTGCTTCCAGGGTATGCCAGGCTGCCCAGTGCCTACTGAATGCCAGGTTCCAAGCCCAGCTCTCCATACCCAGCACTCTTATTAGATCCACTTTACAAAGAAGGAAACTGAGGCACTTACTATAAGTGGCCCTTCCCAGGTTGAACCACTAGTAGGCCAGGACCTATGTTCTTTTTGACCTTGTGTCCCTTCCTGTCCCTCCTACTCATCTTTCAGAGCTTCCTTGAGGGACTTTCCGAAGACAGGAACCTCAGGACAGAACCAGCGTACGGGCACTCTCCCTGTCCCAGCTCCATTTAGGCTCAGTGTTGACTGCTGAGAGCTGGTCTCAGCGTGCTCCTATAGGAGAGACTGAGCAGGTGTTGAGGGTAGGACTCTGTGCCTATTGTCCCCTTGCTACAGTGTCCTAGGACCCAGCACAATGCCTAACGGCCCCCAACAGACACTCTGCAGACAACTGGTGCTGTAGAAGCACCCAGAAACCAGCAGAAGTGTGCATGGCCTCAAGAGCCAGGAAAAGGCAGAACAGGCTCTCCCATGGAGGGAGAAAGAAAGCAAAGCCAAGAGTTGCCCAGGGCTGGCTAAGCATAAGTGACTGAAGCGGAAAGATGGCTGACAGGTCAAAGCCCTGGAAGGAGAACCAAGCCTCAAACTGAAGCGTTTGGGAGCCACTGAAGACCACAGGGAGAGCTTGTGGTGTCAGGAATAGAGAACTCCTAAGGTCACACCCACCCAATCAGAGGCTCATTGGACTCTGGGCCACCCACCAACATGCCACTCCCATAGGCCCAGTGGAACCTCCCCTCCCAGGTCACACCCTTCCAAGGAGGCAAAACAGACACTCTGTTCCCACCTAGGGAGTGGCTTCCAGGAACAGACCTCCTGGGAAGTGGACACTGTGGCAGGTAGCTAATCAAAGCTCCTGCCCCTTAAACCAAGCTTTCTCGGCGTTACTTTTTCTATCTGGAAAACAGGGGTGTTCTCTAACACCCAACTCACCCATCTCACAAGATAAGGGATGAAAACAAGACCAGGCACACACGGTGCGCTCTCTCGTTAAACATTAACCACCGGCATCAAGTTTTTTTTTTTTTTGTTTTTGTTTTTTTGAAAGGCAGCAGGCTACAGAAGCTCTCTGGGACAGAGCTCCGGCTCTGGAATCCTAGCCGCTCACCTTACTCATTAGCTGACCTGGGGCAAATCACTTAGCTTCTTAATAACAGCGTTGGCTCCGGTGCTGTTGTACTGAGCGCTACAGAGCGCTAAATGAGTACGTACGCAGAGCTTTAACGCGGAGAGGGACGCTCGGCCTATCATCAGTGTTTTATCAGTGTGTGGCCTTCATCATTTGTGGGAAGGGGCTCTCCCCCTTCTACTCCCACCACCAGGACGCACTTTTGAAGGTTGTTAAACGTCCCTGGACCCCCTCCCCACTGCACGTACCCCGCCTCAGTTTTTAGTTTTTGACCCTCCCAGAACATCTACACCCGTCAGATTTTTATCTTCGCACCCTCTACCTACGCGCCGTCTCAGACACCCCCAAACCTAAAACCCATTCACCTCCTCCTTGGGTTGAGGCTTTTAAAATCTTCAACCAGGCCGCCGCCCACTTCTTTTGGTTGTGACCTCCGACCCTTACAGACACACCCTCCTCTTAAGTTACTCTGAGCGCCCCCTTTTACGAGACCCGTTCCGAAACCCTCCTACGCGCCCCCACTTAGTATTTCAAACTTCGCACGGATTTCACACCCGGCCACGCCCCCTCCGCGGGCCTCACCCCTGATCGCGACAGTCCCCGCCCCTTTCCTCATTTCTGACCCGCGACCCTTTTCCACGCGACCCTTTCCTCCAAGAGTGAACTTTGACCCCACCGGCCCCGCCCCCTTCCGAATACCCGCTCCCTCACAGCGCGTCCGCAGATCCACCCGCCCCCAATCGCAAGCCCCTTGCACGGTAATCCCCTAACCTACCGGTTTGGCGCCGCGGTCGCTCGCAGCCTAGCTGCCGGACCCAAAACTCTGCGCCCGCGCACCGCCTTCAGCTGTCTCGCGCCGCCGCCACCGCGGCTACTGCCGCCGCCATGTTGAATACCCAACGAACATCCGGGGCCTCCCCTACTCCTCGCCGCCCACTAGTTCCCATGGCAACGGAGCTGACCGGGCGATGGGCGGGGCCTGTTTGGGGGCGGAGCGATGAGTCGGGCAGGGTTCCCTGAAACCACTGATTGGTGCGCGTTGTCCAATCGGCGACCTCTAGGAGGAGAATGACGAGCAGAGATTGGGAAGTTTGGAAAAGGTGCGGGGACGTTGATTCCCCGCCCACTCCGCCCCTTAAAGGGGAAATAGCGGCTTTCGTGTGGCACAGATTCCCACGGGCTCCCAAAGAAGTAAGTGGAATAGGAGAACATAAAGGCCAGAAACAGTTCTCAAGCACCTATTATGGCTTTTGCTAGCACGCGACTAGTTCTACTATAAACCGGGTACCACAACCCTCTTGCTGTAACACCCATTTTACAGGTAAAGAAACAGGCTAATCGAACGCTGGTTGGCTTATGACTACCTTTGGAAGGAAGTAACCAGTTTTGAATGAAGCTCTGTCCGAATCTGGAAATCTGACACTACTTGATCTTAATCTTTGAAATAAGCTTGTTTGCTTGTTTTTAAATCAATCACGGCTGTGTGAGATGTATCAGTAGGTACAAGGCGCTTCCTGCCTAGACTGACAAGTTCCATCTCCTGGAACCACACGGTAGAACTGATTCCCACAAGTTGATCTCTAGCCTCCACAAGAGAGCCGTAGACATAAAATAAAGAAATAAATGTAATTGAATGTTTTTAAATGAATCAAAATGGAAAATACAGGGGAAACGAAACCCATAAACTAATACCACCCTTGCATCTATGGTTTTATTAGGTCTTACTGAAACATTTAAAAACGCTTTCTTATCTTGAGGTTTTTGAGGGTTTTGTTTGTTTATTTGGGTATTAGACATTGAATTTAGGGCTTTATATAGGACAGGAAAGCAGTACTAGGTAAGTCCCCAGCCCTAGGGAATTCTAGGCAAATGCTTTCCCCAGCTGAGCCCCTTGGGAGACTGAGATTACAGGTTTATCCCAAACAGACTTTCTCTGGTTCTTTTCATTGGCTTTTTCTTCTGTCTGGAAGATTCTCTTCTTTAAGCATCCTCCTGACTCCCAGTGTTCCTTTGGGTTCATTATTTTGGGTTCTATTATGTTCTCTAAGAGACAAAACATCCTACCGTGTGCTACTAAATCCTTTGCCAGATTCTGCTTATTTTCCTTTGCTGACTGTGGTTTTGTGTCTGGCTGGCTGGTTTGGGTTTCCTGAGACAGGGACTCACTATGTAGCCCAGGCTGACCTTGAACTCTTGGTTTTGCTCATGGCCAGGGCCTTGATATTATTGGTATGTAATTGCTCAGTACATATTTATAAAAAGGAATGGCTGAATAAAGGGTAATCCTACCCTCTGAAGATTCACTTAAATGCTTGTTGCCTGTGCTCTGTACCTGCACACTGCCAGGCACATAGCAGGTGTTTTGTTAACATGTGCAAACCATGGATGAATGAAGGGCTGCTGTTCAGGTCTCTGCTTGTCTTCTTTTCTCCCCCTCCCCCATATTCCCATCTCTCTCTTCGTCTTATTTCCAGTTGAACTCAGGGACTCTGATGCACTAAAAGAGTCTTTTACCACAGGATTCATAGGTTTATGTCACTTTACCATGGCTAGAAGAATGGTCTGAATAGTATATCTTTAAAAATATATATTTATGAGGAGAACTGGGAGGAGTGGAGGGAGGGGGCGCTGAAGTTGGGGTGTAATATATGAAAGAAGAATAAATTTAAAAAATTATTCCCTCAACCCAGAAAAATAAATAAATTAAAAAAAAATATTCCCCATCCCTATACATGTATGTGTGTGTGCATGTGTGTGCACGTGTGCATGTGTGTGTATGTATGCGTGCTTGTGCAGTGTCCTCAGAGTTCAGAGGAGGGTCTCTGAAAGAGCAGCCAGTGCTCTGAAGCATGGAGCTGTTTCTCCAGCCGTAGATAATACCTTTTAAAACTAAGACTATATACCTCATCAGTGGCTCTTAATGTCAATAAATATTCTTCAAGAAGATTAATTTTGGGGCTGCCTAAGAAGCCAGACTACTAATTTACTCTAATTTGCTTAGCCAAATTTTTCTTGTTGAGTTTCTATGCTGTGGTACATATTTTGCTTTTAGAAACCATCATGTGCCGGGCAAGGGTGGCGCACGCCTTTAATCCCAGCACTTGGGAGGCAGAGGCAGGTGAATTTCTGAGTTCGAGGCCAGCCTGGTCTACAGAGTGAGTTCCAGGACAGCCAGGGCTACACAGAGAAACCCTGTCTCGAAAAACCAAAAAAAAAAAAAAAAAAAGAAAAAAAAAGAAAAAAAGAAAGAAAGAAAGAAAAGAAAAAATCTAAGCAGCTAAATGTTTGTGTAGCTAAATCCAAGCAGCTAAGTAGTTGCTTCCTTTGAGTATATTGCCACAGACTGATGGGCCAAAGGAAATGTGAATGTGTTTGCTTGGGCTGGTGTTTTGTTGTTGCTTTTTTTAATGACAAAGTCTCATGCGACCCAGGCTCATGCTGCCTGGAACTCATTATGTAGCCAAAGACGACCTTAAACTGCTGATCTTTCTGTTCCCACGTCCCCAGTGCCGGGAATACAGGTGTGACCACCATTGCCACCCTGTACATACAAAGCTCCTGTAGCAGTGGGGCTGCGAGAGGCAGCGGGTGCTCTACACTGTCTTCCAGCCTTTCTTCCTTCCTTCCTTCCTTCCTTCCTTCCTTCCTTCCTTCCTTCCTTCCTTCCTTCCTTTCTTTCTTTCTTTCTTTCTTTCTTTCTTTCTTTCTTTCTTTCTTTCTTTCCTCCCTAATTTTTTTCAAGACAGGGTTTTTCTGTTTAGGTCTGGCTGTTCTGGAACTTGTTCTGTAGACCAGGTTGGCCTCAGACTCAGAGATTCACCTGTCTCTGACTCGCGAGTGCTGGAATTAAAGGCGTACCCCGCCATACCTGGCTATTCCGAACACTTTTATCCACTGGGAGTTTTATGCTAAAGTGGAATTATTGGTTTCTAGTTCACTCTGGAAGAATGAACTAAGTTGGGAGAATTCTAGTAGCTCATTCACTTACCAGCTGCCCTCTGCTGCCTCCCTATGGTCGGGGACAGACATTGCAAGATCGTACAACGGACTCACACTTCTGCCCGCCTTCAAAGTATTCTTCTCACCAGTGTTTAAAACACTCTTGGTTTTTTTTTCCCCTCTTTCTTTATAGTTGTTTGTTTTGCCTGTGTATGACTGTGAACCAGAGCGAGGAGGATGAAGAGAGTATTCTCTCCTTCCGCTGTGTGTTTCCTGGGATCGAATTCAGGCCATTGAGCTCAGTAGCAAGAACCTTTGCCCGCTGAGCTATCTCCTCAGCCCTCTTAATAGATTTTAAACTGAGGTCTGATTTCAAAGCCTATGCTGGCTCAATAAATATATACACTGAGCACTCGCTGCGAGCCGATCGCATTGAATAATGAGAATGCCAACATTGACAAAGTATGCTATGCGGCAGGCCATGTAACATACACGCCCCCTTAAATTTTGCAGTAAGGTTCTCCTAGGAAGATGTAAAACTAACATCTGTCTCCACGCAGGGGTGGCGCGTGCCAACAGCCAATGGAATGACTCACGCACGTTTATTAGGGGTTATTTATGGGGCGGTGGAGAGCTACAAATGACTGCACCCCCCTCCCAGGACACCCCCCACATCCTGTTCAGTTACTCCACAGATGATACAAACCAGGGCTTAGACCGCCACCTAGTGTTAGAACAGCAAACTTCAGGGCCTGGAACAACCAGACTCTAGGAAAATTTTGTGCTTAGGTCCTTAAGAAAGAGGGCTATTGCCGGGCTGGTGGTGGCTCACGCCTTTAATCCCAGTAAGGGGGCTGGGGGCGTGGCCCAGTGGTAGAGCCCCTGCCTAGAATCCCCCAGTGAGGGGCTGGGGGCGTGTCTCAGTGGTAGAGCCTCTGCCTAGAATCCCCCAGTGAGGGGCTGGGGGCGTAGTTCAGTGGTAGAGCCCCTGCCTAGAATCCCCCAGTGAGGGAGGGGCTGGTTCTCTGGCTGACCTGTGGGGCAAATGTACTGGACTGGTTGAAAGAAGCCATTTTCTAAAGGTTAGTACTGCATAGCTCTATTCACAGTATCGTAGGAAAGGCAAATCTAACCTATACTGACAAAATTAGATTAGTTGATGCTAGAGGCTGACGGGGGCTGGCAGTTGCTGCAGGGAAATCTAGGCGATAGAAATATTCTCTCACAAGCAAGGGCATGGGGCCACCTGTGTGTAATCCCAGCATCCAAGAAGTGGAGGCACGGTGATCATAAGTTCAAGTCCGGCCGTGTGGTGGTGGCGCACGACTTTAATCCCAGCACTTGGGAGGCAGAGGCAGGCGGATTTCTGAGTTCGAGGCCAGCCTGGTCTACAGAGTGAGTTCCAGGACAGCCAGGGCTACACAGAGAAACCCTGACTCAAAAAACAAAACAAAACAAAAAAACCCAAAAAACAAAACAACAAAAAAAAAGTTCGAGTCCATCCTCAGCTATATCGTGAATTCGTGGCCAGCCTGAGCTACATGAGAAACCAAACTATGAATCTCCCTAGAACATAATGATCCCCCTGTCTCCATCTCATGAGTGCTGGGATTGCAGTCATGAGTCACCACACCCTGCTTCATCTTTTTCTATTTCTACACACTAATCAACAGTATGGGACTATCCCTCCATCCAGTGTTTCCATCCACGGCAGTCATTGAGGGGCCGTGTTAGCTATCAGATCAACTGTTGGCGAGTGGAGCGCAGGTGGGCCAATGTCTGTCACCTCTTTATGTCACAGCCTTGCAGGGAAGGCTGTCCAAGAGAGGAAGGGGACTGTGAAGTCTCTATGTTAGACCCTGAAATATAACGGATGGTGTTTTGTCAGCTACAGCTTACTGCCTTTGAGGGGAGGAGATACAAACGCTGTTTCTGGATGAG